CCCCCCCCCCGCCGCTGCTGTCCCTGCACGCCTTCGGGTTGGTCATCCGCCAGGCCGTCACACACCAGCGCCAGACGACCTACGCCGCGGTCCGCGCCGTCCTCCAGGACCCCAACCCCCCTACACCCCACGGCCAAAGCCTGTGCAAGATCAAGCGGTACAAGTACCTCGGCTCTATCAGCTGCATCCGGCTCCAGCACGACATCCAGGCGAAGCACCCGGAGGAGTACGCCGTCTACGTCGGGGCGATGCAATGGCACCTCTTCCTGGAGACCCATGTGGGGATCACGACCTTCTTCTACGTCAACTCCCCTCCACTTCACATTCAATGCTCCGAGCGGCGCTGCTTTATGGGATCCTACAAGGACACGATCAATGGGTACGTATCCTCGGACAACAAGCACGACGTCCAGAAGTGCGATTGGTGGATGGGGGAGGAGCTACGCGTGAAGTTGGACGACGCGGCGATTTCCCGCGAGGCCGCGCGCGCGATGGAGTTACTCCAGGGCGCCCTCGCGGCGGGATCGACCCAGGAGTTGGCGGAGCCGATTCACTCGCTGCTCTCGAGAGTCCCGCGCACGGCGCGAATCCTGGAGAAGATTGCCAAGATGAGTACGAACCACACCAAGAGCCTCGTGTCCATTATCCCGCCGCTCAATAAGTTTTTGATGAGCGAGATCGCGGAGATGATTCAGGCTTTGGATCCGATCCTGGGACAGTGCAGTAAGCATTTTCTGACAAATAAAGTATCTGAGTCGTTTGCGAGACTATCAGCATCGCACTGGACCAATCTTTTTCTCAATGACTCTCGGCACGTGGAGGCTTAGCTGGCGCGGGAATTATGGTAACCCAGTACTTGCGTAGATCTGTAAAGAATTAATTATATATATGATTCCTTTTCTATGTTTTTTTAGAAAAACATTTAAAAGCCCCTTTTGCTTTTCGATTCAATATACACAATTTACTCAAACGAATATAACTATTCTCTATTTAATTAAATTATAGCATGAAGTTCCCATTGGAAATAATATAGGATATTTTAAATGCTTCTTTTATGATAATTTATTATATTAGCTCAATAAAATATGTTTTCCAAGGCATACGTTTAAAATGCAGCAATGAATTTAACTCATGATTTCTAATGTATTAACTCCTTGTTGATATAATTACTATAAATGAAAATAGAATTGCATGATCAACGTGCAGAAATTCATGAGAGTCATAATATCTAATTATAATTGATAATTTTTTCTCGTTATGTTTGTTTGCTCATAAATGTGTGAATATGATGAAGAAACTACGATATCAATAAATTGATTTGATTTTTTTCAAAACGGAGAAATGAAGTAGGTATTCCTAATTCATATGCAAATGTAAATATTTCTATTGATTTTATCACCCAACTCCTTAACA